CAATCACATCATCATCACCACGTCACAATCACATCATCATCACCACGTCACAATCACATCATCATCACCACGTCACAATCACATCATCATCACCACGTCACAATCACATCATCATCACCACGTCACAATCACATCATCATCACCACGTCACAATCACATCATCATCACCACGTCACAATCACATCATCATCACCACGTCACAATCACATCATCATCACCACGTCACAATCACATCATCATCACCACGTCACAATCACATCATCATCACCACGTCACAATCACATCATCATCACCACGTCACAATCACATCATCATCACCACGTCACAATCACATCATCATCACCACGTCACAATCACATCATCATCACCACGTCACAATCACATCATCATCACCACGTCACAATCACATCATCATCACCACGTCACAATCACATCATCATCACCACGTCACAATCACATCATCATCTCATCATCATCATCACGTCATCTCAATCACGTCATCACATCATCATCACGTCATCACATCATCACCAACATCACTACATCATCACCAACATCACTACATCATCACTACGTCACCGAATCACCGCTTCACCACATCACCACATCACCAACCGAGTCAAGCCCGTACAGCTGTAAAGAAGGCCCGGTGCCCGTAACGTCGGGGGCACTGCCGCATACGTTTGCCCGTTTGCGACGGACGACGCGAGGGGTTGAGGTCTCATTGTGAACTCGATCGGCAGCTAAGGTGCGGTGGGGTCAAATGTGGGTACCCTCACCCCTGCACAGACATCTGGGTGCCACGGTGGCTGGAAGATGTTTACAACCTCGCCTGGTGTGCAGGGGCTCATTGTTTTCAACCCGACCCTGACTCCTGCTGTACATTTGGAGTTTGCGTCTCTCCACCCACCCCCCCCCCCCCCCTGGGTCGCGTGTATTTTTCTCCGTGTCCTCTGGTTTTTCCCTCCACATTTAGAATAAAAAACCTCGCGCGTTTAGAGTATTTGGCTGCTCTAATTGTCCACGTGACAATAAGTGCCTTCGTTGAGCTATCATTCGTGATATCCGGGGAGCTTCTGAAAAAGAGCTACAGTGAGAGAAAAAAGTATTTGATCCCCTGCTGATTTTGTACGTGACAAAGAAATGATTAGTCTATAATTTTAATGGTAGGTTTATTTGAACAGTGAGAAACATAATAATAACAACAAAATCCAGAAAAACGCATGTCAAAAATGTTATAAATTGGTTTTCATTTTAATGAGGGAAATAAGTATTTGACCCCTCTGCAAAACATAACTTAGTACTTGGTGGAAAAACCCTTGTTGGCAATCACAGAGGTCAGACGTGTCTCATAGTTGGCCACCAGGTTTGCACACATCTCAGGATGGATTTTGTCCCACTCCTCTTTGCAGATCTTCTCCAAGTCATTAAGGGTTCGAGGCTGACGTTTGACAACTCGAACCTTCAGCTCCCTCCACATATTTTCTATGAGATTAAAGTCTGGAGACTGGCTAGGCCACTCCAGGACCTTAATGTGCTTCTTCTGAGCCACTCCTTTGTTGCCTTGGCCGTGTGTTTTGGGTCATTGTCATGCTGGAATACCCATCCATGACCCATTTTCAATGCCCTGGCTGAGGGAAGGAGGTTCTCACCCAAGATTTGACGGTACATGGCCCCGTCCATCGTCCCTTTGATGCGGTGAAATTGTCCTGTCCCCTTAGCAGAAAAACACCCCCAAAGCATAATGTTTCTACCTCCATGTTTGACGGTGGGGATGGTGTTCTTGGGGTCATAGGCAGCATTCCTCCTCCTCCAAACACGGCGAGTTGAGTTGATGCCAAAGAGCTCCATTTTGGTCTCATCTGACCACAACACTTTCACCCAGTTGTCCTCTGAATAATTCAGATGTTCACGGTGTAGTGTGTTACCAATTGTTTTCTTGGTGACTATGGTCCCAGCTGCCTTGATCATTGACAAGATCCTCCCGTGTAGTTCTGGGCCGATTCCTCACCGTTCTTATGATCATTGCAACTCCACGAGGTGAGATCTTGCATGGAGCCCCAGGCCGAGGGAGATTAACAATTATTTTGTGTTTCTTCCATTTGCGAATAATCGCACCAACTGTTGTCACCTTCTCACCAAGCCGCTTGGCAATGGGCTTATAGCCCATTCCAGCCTTGTGTAGGTCTACAATCTTGTCCCTGACATCCTTGGAGAGCTCTTTGGTCTTGGCCATGGTGGAGAGTTTGGAATCTGATTGATTGCTTCTGTGGACAGGTGCCTTTTTTATACAGGTAACAAACTGAGATTAGGATCACTCCCTTTAAGAGTGTGCTCCTAATCTCAGCTCGTTACCTGTATAAAAGACACCTGGGAGCCAGAAATCTTTCTGATTGAGAGGAGGTCAAATACTTATTTCCCTCATTAAAATGCAAATCAATTTATAACATTTTTGACATGCGTTTTCTAGATTTTTTGTTGTTATTCTGTCTCTCACTGTTCAAATAAACGTACCATTAAAATTATAGACTGATCATTTCTTTGTCAGTGGGCAAACGTACAAAATCAGCAGGGGATCAAATACTTTTTTCCCTCACTGTATGTGCCCTCCACCTGCTGTACGGACAACATCGAGACGATAGTTGAATTCGTCCCTAACGCCTCTCAAAGTGTCTTTTTCCACTGAAGTCACCGCTGCCGTGATTCTGTTTTTGAGGTCATCCAGATTAGTCGCTAATGGTGGCACAAAAACACCACGGTCTTTTGTGCCACCATGCTCTTTGACATTGGCGGACCAATGCCAAAACACCGTTGAAACACACGCTGCACCGCAATTACGGATTCAGCCTTGCTGAACTACAGAATGCAAAACAACTTGTGTTGCGGGGTCACCATCTTGCGAATGACTGAGGCTAGGGGCTGTTTGTGCACTGGGAGAGACATCTACCAGTAATCGTTTGAAACGCGATGCCCCTGCCCTTTCAAGTGGTAAGAGTATCATTCATGGGCGGTTCGCGGTTGCAGAGATATAGCGATTTCAAATCGGGTCCATATTTTGAAAACGCCCTGTAATATGTTCATAATGTTGTTAGTGTCTTTCCGTATTAGTGTCCGTTGTTTAAAATATGAAGTAAGTTTTTTAGGATGACGAAGAGGGTAACTTTCGATGCTACCGGAGGGCATGCAGCCACTAACGTGTACTTCCTGTACTCGCTTAACGACCAAATCGCTTTAGCGAACCAATTGCCGCCGTGAAGAGGAAGAAGTTCCTGCCGTCACTTAGCTCGGTCTGGCCAGTGCGGACGAGTCGGCGAAAATCTCTCGCGCCCCCCCCCCCCCCAGGAAAGAGCCCAGTGGAGGTGCTTCCAGCGGGGGGAGTCCCTGCTGCCCTTTACCGCCCGTCTTTACCACGCGTTTTGTGATGCTCGTGAAGGTCACGGCTGATGTGTGGCCGCCTGGCTAGGAGGGTGGTCGGGGGCTGGTTTAGGGATAGGTGTGGTGGAGTGTGGGGGGTACGGCGGGCGATGTTGAGGCTGGGAGAGGATGGGTGGATGTGAGTCGCGAGGTCTCAACATCTGAGAGGTCACGGGGTTGAGTGGCTTGAGGTCAACACGCGCGCACGGAGAGACGCCGCTGAAATGATTTCGACGCGGATGTGTCCGTCGTTTCGGCACCCTGGGGGGTGGGCGGTGGTGGGGGGGCTGTGGTGGAATTGGATGGGAGGGGGCTGTCGCTGTTGAGTCCGCGAGCTGCTCCGAGTGGCGATGATGAGAGGGCGAGGCAGGCAGATTGGTCGCGGTGGAGTGACCCTGAGTGAGAGTTGCGTCATTCTTGACAGACAGCCGCCGGCCTTGCTACCGCTGCTATTCTACTCGATGCCTGCGTGTCCGCAGTTCCCGTGTCCCCAAAAATAGCAGTAAAGGCGCAGCCCCTGCAATATGTGCGCCGCTGCCGGAACGGAGCCTTCTAGAGCCCCGTCAACGTTTACTGGCCAACTTTTGCACACTGGCGGTTCGCGCGCCAAATATTGTCTCGCAAGTGACGGCATCACATTTATCCCTCCCCTCTATTTAAGACCGAATCAGGAGGAGGATTTCTCCACAACTCTGGCTGCCACCTGATGACGCTGGTTGTAATTGCGGGCGAAGCGTCGCGGTTAATGGAATTGCAAACGTTGTGGCTTTACTCTCCAAAACACTTGGTGTGCTGTACGAGTAACTAGCCGGCACGTTTTGTTTACCTAACAAACCTTACTAAACGGCCGTGTCGGGTGGTGGCGGGTTTAACGACACATTTATATTTACGCGATCTAACAGGAGAAACTTTTTTCATGGATCTTTCACACTGGTTAAGTTTTGTCTCGAAAGTGGTGGGGAGTAACCACACAAAACCTGCCGATCGACCGGTTGGGTTTTCGGTTGCACCCATTGAGTCTCCTGGGTGGGCATGGGGTTTAAGAGGGCCGGATAATATTTATGATGATGTCGGTGGTGGTGGTGGTGGTGATGAAGATTTCCGCTCATCGGTGACGATTATCTGAATGGGTCCTGGGCCGCCCCTCGGTCGACTCAGACTCAAATGAGTACCTGGTGTTGTGTGTAAACAACATCGCCACTAGGGAGACAAAGGTGGCCAGGCGTGGTGTCGTCCACCCACCCCCTCATGTGCCATGTCGGCCTTCATAGGTGCTACTCGCTAACAGCACTTGGCCCCAAAGTCTGTTCAAGCTATACGGGGGATCTTTGTCTTTGGTGATGTAGATGATGTTAATGGTAATGACGTTGATATTAATGATAATCACAATGGTGACAATATTAATGAAGATAATATTGATTCCCATCATGATATTAATTAAGATAGTAATGACATCGATGATGTTATTAACGACGATTTTGCCGATGATATTCACGACGATGATGATATGAATGACGATGTTGACGTTTATGATGCTGATATTAATGATGATGATGATATTAATGATGGCGACGATGTGTCCGCAGGAGCCAGAGATGCCGCAGGCCGTGATGGACGTGCTGTCGCGGGCTGAAATCCACAGCATCAGCGACCTGCCCTTCCTGCTGCCGTTTGACTCCGTAGGTAAAGCTCAGCCTTGGTTACTTTTACACAACACAAAGACAAAGATCCCCCATCGCGTAGCCTTAACACACTGTTGGGGAAAGTTCTGCTCGGAGGCAGCACCACCGAATGAAAGCCGGCACGGCACACGAGGTGGTGGGTGGCCAGCACTGCGCCCGGCCGCCTTTGTCTTCCCGGTACTCGTGTTTATTACCCACCACCCTAGGTACTCATTTAAGGCTGAGTAAACCTGGGTGGTGGTTAAGGGGATGAGGGATCCAGATATGATGCTGGGAATGGATCTCGGGTCGCTGGGTTCGTAGCCGCAGCGCGCTAACCGCGCTACACGACTGCTTCGCGCCAACACCACCACTACCACAACAACCGCCACCACCACCACCACCGTCATTATCATCCATCATCATCGTCGCGAGAACGGATAACGTCACCGCGCGAGAGTGGCAAGTGAACTCACGTGCGTCTAGAGGGACTTAACAACAGCTGTGTTTGTGTATCAGTGGCACTCGTGCCGTGCCGAGTGCGTGTTGGGTGCGTGCACGCGCGCGTTTATCTCTCAAGGCGCTCCGCCACCTCGCAGGGGTGTGCGGGGCGGGTGGGGGGACGGCGTAGGGATGAGTCTGCAAGAGTCGCGTAAATTTGTCCCTTGGGGGCAGGGCTCTGGGCAGGGCTCTGGGCAGGGCTCTGGGTAGGGCTCTGGGCAGGGCTCTGGGCAGGGCTCTGGGCAGGGCTCTGGGCAGGGCTCCGGGCAGGGCTCTGGGCAGGGCTCCGGGCAGGGCTCCGGGCAGGGCTCTGGGCAGGGCTCTGGGCAGGGCTCGGGGCAGGGCTCGGGGCAGGGCTCGGGGCAGGGCTCGGGGCAGGGCTCGGGGCAGGGCTCGGGGCAGGGCTCGGGGCAGGGCAGGCCTTTGAGCGTGCGGTAGCGCTGGGCTCGTAGACAGATTTTCAGTGTGCAGGCGGTGGAACTGCAACGTGGGCCCGCGGGCGGCGAGGAGACCCAGGAGGGGAGTTGGACAGCAGGCAGCGCGAGGTGGATGGTGCTCATTTGATTTCTTGAACCAGTGCACAGGCAGAGCTGGTCCAGGGCATGGCCAGTGTGGTGCTGGGTGATTAAATGAAGAAAGAGAGAGAGGGGGAGGGGGGGAGTGGGGGTGGGGGGCTTTTGTTAGAGCCATAGACAGACAGAGAAGAGGGCTCGGAGAGAGTTACTGCCAAGCAGAGGGAAGGCGACAGAGCGAGAGAGAGATACACAATGAGACACGCAGTGAGACAGACAGACACTGGGGGTGGGGGGGGTCACTACTCCACGAGAAAAAAATTCCACAGCGCCAAGTCTACAACTGCCACGCGCGTTTATTACTGCAGATTCAACAGAACTTTTTTTTTTCCGGCCGGGTGGCATCAGATTGTCAGAGACGCCGATGAGACCGGGTTCGAATACCGGTTACATCCACCGCCTGCGTTGAAGCCGGCTGTCACCGTTGCGTCACGAGTCGGCGGCCAGCAGGGCGCGGGCGCCGACGAGTCACGGCAAGGATCCACGAACTCGCACAGAGAGCCGTAGACTCGCGCGGTGAGGACACGTGGACGGCGGCAGGCGTGGGCACGCACCACGTGACGCCGCGACGGGGGTGGCAACCGGTTGGCGCAAACCGCTCGCAGGCCCGGTTGCGGAGGCGTTCACGTGTAAAGGCGATTCGGGTGCGCGCAACCGATTGCGAGTCGCGCGCAACCGATTGCGAGTCGCGAGCGACCGACCGCTCGGCGTAGGGGACCCGGCGGGCAGTCGCTTCCGCGGGGAGAACGCGACCGGTGCCGGTTGTGGTCGCGTCGACAGGATTTGCCGCGACGACCTCTTGACCTTGACCTTGGCGTCTTCAATGGGGAGAATGGGGCAGCCGTGTGTGTGTGGTGGCGGGGGGGGGGTGCATAGTTGGGTGGATTGTGGGGGGGGGGAGGAGATGGAGGGAAGCGAGCACGACGCAGATCTGCACCGATCGTTTACCGCGCTGATGGAACCACGGATCTCCCCCCCCGCCCGCCCCGCGAACTAGCTGGGTAGCTGACTACACGAGACTTTCCGCGTAACAAATGAACGTTGAATCGATTGCTTGACGCTCACCGTGTCGACAAACACCCCCCCCCCCCCCAATCACACGCCCCCTCTTCCAAGCTCTTGAGCTCACGACGAGGTGGAGCTCACGGCTCTCCTGCCTCACTTCGCCTCTTCAAAACAAAAACGAACGTCCGTCAACATTGGCGAGAGAGCGAGAAAAAGAGAGCGGGGGGGAGCGGGAGGGAGCGAGAAAAAGAGAGCGAGGGAGAGCGGGGGAGAGCGAGGGAGAGCGGGGGAGAGCGAGAAAAAGAGAGCGGGGGAGAAGGAGAGCGAGAGAGGGAGAGCGAAGGGGACGCGTTGGACTTTAACCTGCGCGTTCCACTTCACGCGCCCCGCGGAAGCAAACACAAGGGAACTGGTCCTGAATCACATGGCCACGTCTTTCGCCACCTCTCTTATTCTCGCCCGCCTTTCAGGAGGGGGTGTCCACTCTGGTGGGGGCGGGGCGGGGGGGGGGCAGAGGGGCAGGGGGTGGCCTTGTTTGATTCCCTCACGTGTGTCTGTGTTTTTTTTTGCTTTGTGCCAAACTCTCACGGACTTTTAGAGCAGCAAAAGCCCCACCGACTCTGCTGATGAGACGCTGGGTTTTTTTTGTTGCACGTGTCAAAAACCGGACCACGGTTTTCTTGCGTTGAGCCCAATGCTTGCGAATGTGCCGCGTTCATTGCTGACGCGTGCGTGCTGAACTTCCTTCGCACCGCACGTAGCCGACCGGGGGAAGGACAACAAACTAAACACGAGAAGCAGCATTTCTAAAGGAATGAGTTTGTCAACCGAGATTTAAAAACGCATAGCTCCATCGGCTTGCTAACATCGGCAGGAAGAGCGTTCCAGACGGCCGTAGAAGTGCGGTGACCATCTTTGTTCGATGGTTGAGCCAGAAACCGTTTCATTGTGCTGCTACTCCTGCTGCTGCTGCTGGAACGACAACGCGCTCCCACAAGGCCGTGTTGCTGCTGGGATGTGTTAAATGAAATAAATACACGACACTTTAATATTCCATTGGGGAGGGACAGATCCGGGAAGGACGTGCGAAGAGTCTGGGTGCTTTCTTCCGTCGCTTCGCGTTCTCCGCATGCGATGGCAGTAGATGCACCGAGTGTTGACCCCCGCTCGATTCGAGAGGTGGCGTTTACTCCGATTGCCGGTTCGAAGCTTGGGTGGTGCTGATTGTGGCTGGCCCGCTTCACGTCATGGCCCCATGGGGCCCCGTGATCGGCATGCAAGCAATCGGTGCGATTTGAAGGCAAAGTCCGGTTTCTGATTATGTATAAGTGGGGATCGAGTGTTGTTCCCACGCACACGGAAACGGAGAACTGGGGCACAGGCTTTATGCTCTCTAGCCGGTAGAGTTTCTGTGTGTGGCATCCCCTTGCATTCCCCCGCACCCTCGCCTTCACACATTACGCTACAAATGTCCACGTGATGATGAGCCACTTTCATCGAGCTGTCATTTGTGGCCAGGTCGCTTCCGAAAAAAAATAAGCTCGTAGCTCAGTGGGCTTTACCAGGTAAGTTGACATTTAAAAAAAAAATAGTTTTTAGTGATTTCCTTACCTTTCATCTGCTTTGCGCTCCTATCGTGTGTTTTTTTGTTTTGTTGTGACCGTTCGTCGTTGTGACTTCCTCACGACGCCCTCCGGGACACGGGCGGCAAGACGTCGCCGCGCGCCGTTCGGAACCTCCGCCGGACTTTTTCGCGAAGCCCGTCTCGGAAGTGAGAGGCCGTCGGATCCTTGGTCGGATCCTTTGTCGGAGCAATCGTCGGGCGATCGCACGGGCCGCGTGGTGCGGGTGGGGTGACGTGCGGGTGGGGTGACGTGCGGGGAACACTGCAGGCCCCTTGCCCAGGACGCCTGAGCCCAGCGGGGAAGAGTCGGCCACAAAAGAAGAGAAAACCATCCTGGAGCTCGGTGGTCGGAGGCCCCTTCCTTCCGTCAATGGTGGTCGCGAACGAGCAGTTGCGGAGCTGCGCCTTTGTCTTTGCCTACCGTCGTTGACGTCACGCGCGCCGCGGCCGGACGCAGCGAAGTCCGGCTGCAGATGTCCTCCCGCTGCGGCGTGACGTGAAGACCCGGGAGACGCAGCGGGAACGTTTACCGTGAAGGGGGAGAGGGCTTCACAGCTCATCGGATTCCGCCAGTCCGAATGAGAGATTCTGACGATTCCGAAGGGCCTCGCGCTTGGCCGGATGATTCGCCGCGCTCGGACTGAGGCCGTCCTCAACCCCAACCACGCGCGCAGACGATGGCAGACCACAAGGGGATGATCACGCGGGGACAGCGACCCGCCCGTAGCGGCGTCAGCCGAGGGCCCCATCGCAAACGACGGATGCCACCTTTAAATGATCGACTGCTCTGCCCCTTGAGGAATCGTCGCGCCGAGCGGGCAACGGTTTTTTTTTCCGTGAGAGATTGAGGGGGGCGACTCGGCGAGAGAGAGCGGGGACGACTCGGAGATAGAGAGAGAGAGAGAGAGGGCGACTCAAAGGCGCCAGGAGAAGCACCAGTAGAAGCCACGTGAAAAAAATATCGCTCGTTTTCTTTGTTTACACATCCCATAAGCCGGGTTCGGCCTCATGCGAGTGCATCATTTCTACAGCACTGGTTCGGTGACGAGTAAAACTCTGGCCCGATTTCAACATTCAGTGTCTCATCAGCAGAGTCGGGCTCACTTGCGCTGGCTTCTACACAAAGCAGACCTCTCTGGCTTGTTCAGACCGGCGCTGATGGTTTTACTGCCCGATGTCTGGAGGAAAGGACCCCCCCCCCCCCGTGCCCTACCCCCCCCCTCCTCTCTCTCTCTGTGTGTGAGATGCGGGTTCCTCCTCGTTGGACGCAAGAGCGCCACTTTGTCTCATCGTCAGTGTCGACGTGGGACGATGCCACGT